AAATCAAGTTTAAACATCGATTAACTGCCCTTTTTTTAACGTAACTACGTCGCTTTGCACATTAATGGAACTATGGGGGTATGCTACTTAAAAATATATTTTACTTTCTTCAAGCTTGACTGTGACTATCTGACTAGTTTCAAAATCAAAGGTTGTAACATGAGAAAGTTCAAATTTCGAGTTAGCTACTTTGCCATAAAAAGGCCGTCTTTAGTTCAGAGCAATTTAAACCGTATCTCTCTGCATCCGTCTGAAGACATTTTTGAGAACTATGGAACACTAATTTGGACTAACGTGACTGCTGAGGTGTTCACCGCTGCGGAATATTTATTTAACAGCGAAGCAAGAGCATATAATTGGCGAGTCAACGAGTTAATTTGCCACATCGAGATAGTAACTTTCCGTGGCGAGAAAACAAGTATTCTTGAAAATCCATGCAGCCCTTGTAAGATATTGTTCACCGCTGCGGAATATTTATTTAACAGCGAAGCAAGAGCATATAATTGGCGAGTCAACGAGTTAATTTGCCACATCGAGATAGTAACTTTCCGTGGCGAGAAAACAAGTATTCTTGAAAATCCATGCAGCCCTTGTAAGATATTGTAGGTGGGGACACGGTTGGAGAAAACTGACTTTACCTACTCGCTAAAACATTACAGGTAGACACACTTTTCTCGGTTGCCACTCTTTTCATTATCCAGACACGTCAACAGGTGCTATATTTACGCTTGATCTCACAACTTACTTGGTATACCTCTATAGGTAGTGCTCCCTGTACGGCTGCAATGGGTCACAGCTTGTTTTTACATCCACCAAATCATAACCAACACCACAAACAGACCCTCAGTCGTGCGCGAAGGGACCTTTAGGGCATTTTTACAAAACCGGGTTATTATCGTTTTCACGAACCTGCTCCTGTACAGCGCAGCACTTAGCGCGCACTCTGTGCTTTTCCGTTTTACGACTTGATGCCGATCTTACTTACACAAGTTAAAACAACTTTTCATTAAATTTGGGGGTATGACATATATCTATAAATGTATAAATTAAGTTCAGTATTTTTTTCTCCGCACTGAATTGCCATAACAAGCTTGTGTGTCAGATCGTGCAAACAAAAATCAGTCTATTTACGCTTTAGTGTCCGATGTGCGCCCCGCTACCTGGTGCTGGTTTGTGAAACCAAAATTGTTGAGATCGCAGTTTTCACAAACTGACACCCACTTGAAACTGTCAGTTCGTGGTGTAGGTGACAAAAAATTCGGTAACAAGGTTAACGCTTCGTGGATAAAATTCCTTCATATCAACTTATCCTACGAGATAACTGAAACTAACTCAAACGTGAGGTCTATATAATTCACGTGTAAAATCCCTTCATTTGCTTAAGGCTACACAACGATAACGAAAACAGTGTAGCTCCACTCAGACAACCGACGTGATATAAAAGAGTTGACTCACAATGTCTCTATTCACTCTTTGCACGCTGCCGTCACAGGCATACAGAGCCTCGAACTGGCACCTTGTAGAAACGCATCAAAATCGCGTCAACACAGCTTTTTCAAATATTGCAATTTGTGTAAAGCTGTCAGATCGAGGGCTCGGCATGCCTATGGCGGTAGCTTGCAAAGAGCGAATACCACCTGTAGCAACCAGTGGCCATTTCAACCGTATCGAATACGAAGGTGATACATGATTGTAATTGGTTCGCATGTCATTGTAACTATTGATGCCACGATCGAATTTGGTTAGCAGTAGCGGACAAGCCATTTATAGGCTTTTAATGGCGTGGTAAACTGCCGCTTCAGTGACCTTATGTGCTGATTAAGGCATTGCAAGTCAGACCTTTTCGTTACGAAATCTGCGTTCAGGAAAAGGACTACCAAGAACTAACTGCGGGCGTCATTCGAAAAATCTGGACTCACAATGCCCTGTATCGACTGGAACCACCAGCAGCTATCTTACCACATCAAATAAAGGTGAACATTGGTTCGCTGAGTTCTTTAACTATTGGAGCCAAGGGTGATTTGGTTAACAATAGCGAACAAGCCTTTGTATAACCTTTGTTGTCGGCATGGTAAGATGGCCGCCGGTGGCTTCAACTGCCCATGTGGCATTGGAGTCCAGACTTTTTATTTGGTTCGTGCTCAGAAAAGAGCAACAAAGACTACCCATAGGCGTCATGTGAATAAAATCTGGACTCGCAATACATGGACTACAACCAAAGCGCCCATCTTACCACACAAAAGTGATCATTAGTTCACTTGCTACTGTCACGATTGAAGCCGCGAGTGATTTGGTTAACAACGGCGAGAAAGCTTTTGTTTTATCTTTCGGTTTGTTTCGCACAGATCCAGGTCACAATCAGTAATCTTTCTCAGAACGCGCCTATCGGATAAAGCGTACCAGCTTTGGGATTACTGGGCGTGTTTTGGTGATCAAAACCATGACATTGTTTTAATTTTTGGCCAATGGTTAAGCGTTTTTGCGACTTAATTATGCTACTTTGACGTCATTTTTCCGATCAAACGAGAACTTGAGGTTTCAATTTGTTCAGCGCAAATTCAAAATAAAGACAATTTGTCGCCCCTCAATTGAGTGAATTATACATTGCATTATTTGTTATTACACGCAGCGAATCAAAGAGATGCTTTGTTGTAGAACGTACGTAAAGGAATGAGCAGGTCTGGTGATATTAAGAGAAATGATGTTCATCTACAGTGTCGTCTGCTTCCTTGCGCAGCCTTTGTCAGATGACGCAACCGTTTCTGGATCTTCGTTTTTGTGCACTGCGCAAAACATGTAGGCCTCTTGCCGGCGTCAGGGTATGGCGTCTGACTGCATACGGTGATTTAAGGCTAATAAATTAAACTGCTATAGCACCACACAGGACTTAAGAATTCGTAACAACAGATACCCTTATTTATCTGTCACTTTGCAAGGTATGTGTATGTATAATTAGCTTACACAGTTTAAAAAACAGGACAATGGCTCGTCTTAGCATTATTTGGGTATCAACATATTGATGGATTAAAGCTTTATGTACAGTCTTCATTCGGTAGGTTTATGATTTATTTAAAAGCATGAGATAACATTTAAACACAGAATTGCATGCCGTTTACAATAGTAGCGTGACAGAAGACACAACTTGTAAGGTTTTTGAAAAACATAAGGCGAATTGAACAGAAATGTTAAGAGATCACTAGCAAATGGAATGGTTCATAAATATTTGTTTACTCATCAAGAATATAGGGACTGCATTAATTTTTAAGGTCATGGATAACTTCACCCGAAGTACAATCATGAAATTAGAGTGGCTGCACTTTGAGGGCAAAGTCATTGCATAATTATTTTTCATACAGAGTATGGTTTATTTTAGAGGACACCGCCTGCTAAGTTTGACATTCCCAATGAACCCCTTCCCCACGAAGCCAAGAAAACGAGAAGTGTTCTGAAAAACATGATTTCAATCTCAATTGTTATATATTGCAATTTGTAGTTTGCCAAATGCCAAATGTAGTTTCATGGAAAATTTAGCTCCCGGTTAAAAAGTCGTGTGTTTGCATCCAGCAGCTGTCTACGTTTGTGATCTTGGTTAAGTCACTTAAATCTCATCTTGCCCTTCTCTAGAAGGGAATATATAAATGGGTACCCGTGAGGACAGCGATACGTTTTACGTTTGATAAGACATTTACGCTAGAGCTGGCAACCTTTGTTTTATGTGTTGGAAAATTCATATGAAGACACTTTCAGGCAGTTTTTTCCTTGAGAAATGTAGCCTATGTGAAGTAGATTTGCTGTAGGTGCGGACATTCCAAACGGGTAAAATATATTTACTACTAAGCTGTATCTTTAGAGAAAAAATAAAACTAAAAACTTTCGAAAGGTCCAGAAGAACTCCGCAGTAATATTTTAATTATGAATTGGAGTTTTACCATGAAATCTACTTTTCATCTAGCAGCATGTCGACATTCGTAACCTCCTTATCAAGGTCTTTATATCAGGAATAACTTCGCGTTGACGGAAAAGGATACTGAAGTACTGTAATAATACTTTTTCACAAGGTGCAATGAAATATGATCTACTAGCTATTTTACCATTACTTGGCCAGTGCATGATAAACTGATGTTTTTCCCAATCCGGAAGACAAGTTACGAATAAGGAGAGTCCATCTTATGTGATCTGTGATGTGATTATTTTCTTTTCAGGCAAAAATTACTCGAAACTTAAACAAGGGTGCCTCAGAACAAACCTGGCGAAGATTCAGCTCGGTGATTACTTGCATATTCCAAGGAAAAACTATTCTCTGGGATTTCGACATCAGATCATAGTTCCAGAGTTACGCTTTAAATCGTGCCTGAATTTACACCCGCGCGTGTGACCAGCATAGATGTAGAATCAGTATTTGATTGGCAACGCGCGTTCTGCCTTTGGCGGCGCCATTTTTCAACACTTGGGGCGACGTGCATCTTTCAAAGAAATACGAACCAGCGTGACCATGCCAACCTCGCTCCCGTAGGTGCGATCTTGCGTCGCCCTGTTGGTTTCTACCATGCCTTCTGACATGTAACCCCTATTATTGTAAGATTTAAATATCCTATTAATTGGGATATTTAAATTAGAACTGTAGTTTATGTATTTATGCGCAACGCATATTTAAACGCAAATGCGTGACGTCCAGGAGTAAACATTGGCGCGAGCGTGCAGCTTTTGGAATCCACGTACGATTAATTTTACCTTTATGTAGTTTTCCCAAAACAATAATTTTACAGGGAGTTTAGTTAAATCACCATGTATAAACCAGGTATGCTTTTCAACTCTAATTTTGTCACTTATTCTGGATAACTGCAGATAATGGACTTGCTGCAAGCGACTGATACCAGTAGCAGAAACGGTAGAAATAAGCCTATCTACAATGTACTGGAGATCATATCACGAGACCAGACACAAGTGAGAGGGTGCAAATCACTAACAAATAATTTCCAGTTCATTTTGCTGGTGACTTTAATTCAAACTAGAGGTCTCGCGTAGGTCTGATGGCGTCTTGTGATGGTCTTAACAGGTTACGACTATGAAAAAACCTGTACAAGAATCACCACTCCTTTCACATACTAACGCACAAGCTTTACAAATCTAACCAGAAATAATTCTCGTCAATGGCACCTACATGTTTTCCTGAGAACAAGAAAAACAGCATTTGTGCGGAACTAAAGCTAAAGCTAAAGTCCATCCCAAAGACTATGTTTGTATTACTTTAAAGAAAGACTTCACTGCTAGTCATATATCTGTTCAAACACGAATTTTCCTCTTTAGTTGCATCTGTCCATTTGGATTCAAGAAATTCGCTTTAATATTATTGACGTTGAAAATAGCAATCATCATCATCTTACACCATCTATCTTGTCTGTCATCTTCCAGATGCGTAAATTTATACTGAAGTTTTAGGACTGCTAATGCCAAAGACTTTAGTTGAATCATATCCTCTAGAAACCTTAGATTTTTTGGCAGCTCAGTTTCACGAAGTTTTAAGTAGTATTATTATTCCCAACAATGTCCACTCCATTTTGAGATCATTTAGAAATGTCTGTGAATGTAGGGGATTCTACCGCATTGCCATCTGCATAGCCCAACTTTAATTTGAAATGTGTTCCAACGTTTCATCCAGTAGGGAGGACTTCGGAGATTTGGGAAACGCCTTGGAAGTTAAATGGCTAACTAAAAGTGTTACCAACATCACCAAAAAAAATTGGAGATTTAAGGAATGTAACTGTTTACAGCAATGTCCCATCAGCACTTGGTTGTCAACATCTGTAGCGTTAAGGCTCTACTACTACGTAGAGGACGAAACTGCCATGCACATTTCAATGTCGACTCCTTGTTCCACCTTTTCTATCAACGAAATACGTTGTGTATGTCTGTGCAATATCATCTAGCAACTATTTGGCTGTGCTGGGTATCGAACTGTGCTTGAAACAAGAGTGCAGGTGTACGTAGACAAATTACGGTGCAGGGTGAAAACAAGTAGTGCAGCAGGAATTTTAAAAAACACATGCAAAACCTAGGCGCCCCAGGAAGAGACGACGCTAAGGACCTTTAGAAACGTAGAACACAAGAATGGGAAACAAAGGTTTTCAGAGCAAGGGCAGGTGCGTGCGTGTGTTCAGAAGAAAAGAACGTGTAAATAGCCTCACAGTACACACACCAGTCTCCACACCACTGCATTCCAGCCCAAGAAGAGAACTCCCATCATAACTAGTTCCGCTGACCAAAAACATACACACGGATTGTCAGCCTTGTGATGCCTCAAAACAAACGTATAAGAAACCAAACGCAAGACTGCACTGTGCCATCGGTAGCTTCAATAGAAAAGATACTCATTTTCCCACAAGTGCGCACTCAGAAAATTTCCTATGGTTAGTAATAACTGTGCAAATAAAAACAAAGAACTGAAACACAGCTGAGACAAACACACGACTACATAAACAAGCCCGGTGCAGTACAAATAATCAAACTCCACAGCCCTGCTTTGGATTGGCGTAATGTTCAAACAAATGAAAACTAGAAAAGCCTATACCTAGGAACACAACATTAACCTTTCCGGTAATTCAGATATGGCCTAGATATATTACCTCACCTAATACGCTATGGAACAACTTGATATGGCGTTCAAAAAGGAATTAAGCTTGGAACAAATACACTTAATCACTAACGAACAATGCAAACGTCAAGCCAGACCAATAAATTAACTTATCAAGAGCGTGTAAAGAACTGCAAGCAAATGCCACCTTAACGTTTTCTTTACATATTTAACACAATATTCATTGGGAGTAGTACTGAAGAATAAACACATTTAAAAGACACATAGAATCATGTAGTGGCACTATATTTATATTTGTTAATTTTCCAACCTGCTAAATACCTTGACAAGATATTAAAATGCACAGTGCGGACCTCACCACCAAGTAAAGCTTTTGAAATTTTGTGTGTTAGTATAGAACAAGGACGAATAATCCTCTTTTCAGAGCAAGAGACAGACAACTGACACTTTTCAATTGAGAGTGTAATGTATTTCAAAAATACATTTTATGCAGGCCTTAAAAGTCAATTTAAAATTGTGGTAAAATTTACTCAAGACGCTGCTAAACAAACGCAGATCAACAAGTCATCTGTAAGCATTTTTTAGTATTGTGCAAAATTAATATAATCTGAAAGTCAGACCTGCATGATTAAACACCTCAATTGTTGAAAGACAGATACACCACATTAAAGAGTACAACAAAAAAACAGGACAGAGGCATTAAAATGTCATGGAGAAACTTCCCTTAATATTCAAACTTTAATCATAGAAAATGATGTTAGTGATGAAAGGAAACAATCTGAAAATTCGCAAACCTGAGGAGCCTGTAGTTACTCCAGCCAATGTCGTTATACTAGAAGACCCAGTGGTACCTTCTAAGCTAGCTGTTTTTGGCTCCAAAGAGGTGATAGCAGCAACAGTTGTGTCAACCACAGTTGATGTCTCAACAGCTCCAGTAGTGGGTTCAACTGTTGTTGTTACTGTCTCTGTAGTGGTGATATTAACCGCAATTGTCTCTACAGGTTCAGTAGTTGCCAGAACTCTGGTTGTTTGTGTCTGTGCAGCCGTGAAATCTGCAACTTTTGTTTCCGCAGCTCCAGTACTTGGCTGGGCCGTGGTTCTTTGTATCTGTGCAGTAGTGGCATCAGCCACAGTTGTGTCTACTCTGATTGTTGTCTCACCTGCTACAGTAGTTCCTTCGAAAGGGGTTGTTTCTTTCCCTGGAGTACTTAAATCAGCCACTGTTGTCTCTACCACTGCTGTCTCAGCACCTCCAGTAGTTGCAACGATTGTGGTTGTTTGTGTCTGTGCAGTAGTGAGATCTGCCACAGTTGTCTCTACCACTGTTGCCACCACAGCTCCAGTACTTGGCTGGGCCGTGGTTGTTTGTGTCTCTGCAGTAGTGACATCAGCCACTGTTGTCTCTACCACTGTTGTCTCAGCAGCTGTAGTGGTTCGTTGCTCTGTGGTTATTTGTGTCTGTGCAGTAGTGAAATCTGCCACAGTTGTCTCTACTACTGTTGTCTCCCCAGCTCCAGTAC